GTGTATCATTCTCTTTAAAAATGCTTATGCCTGAACAAATTTTTGCTCCTGTCTTTAATCACGCCATTCTTTGCAAGTCTTGCAAAGCCTTTAAATTCATTTTGGTATTTATATTCATTAGCATTAGGGTGTAGTTTTCTAAACTACATATTTTATTGAAAATATTACTTTCAACTGGTTGTGATGCTTGTAGACGACAGCATCTGGGGAGTGGACTAAACTCACTATCTCCTTTAGTTTCAGCACAGCCTCTACACGCACACATTGACTAACACTACTGGCATTACTGCTTAGGTGGAGGGTCACAGGTTCCAGGAGTCCTTTCACAGTATAACATGCATGTAACAGAGTGAAAAAACTTCGGCCCTGAGTTGGGGAAAATTAGGTGAGAAATAGGAAAAAGTAGGTTTTATCTTTATTTACAGGACTGATGAACACACAGGTTAAAGGAATTTGCCTGAAGTCACACAGGAAATCTTTGGCAAAGCTGGGAACCTTACTAGTCTCAAGCCTGGTCTACACATAATGATTTGATGGTATAAATATACCAGCAGCTGAACTCTATCAGCAGTTTTTCCCAGGAAGGAGGCAGCACATGCTTGCACAGCAACATTGTTTTTTTTTCTCTGAGAAATTGTAAAATGAAGTGTTTGATGTTTTTAGAAGGCATTCTTGTAGAATAAAGTCTTTCCACTCCTTTCAGGAATTAATTGGTATATGCAACCACCAAGATTAAGCATCTGTGGATAAAACAGAATGCCAGCTCTTCAAGGGACTGTATTCACATTTGAAAATAAACTAAAGGCAATTCCTGACTAATGTTATTTTTTCTTATTGTGGTAGTAGTGATTAAGAGACTGATAAATAGTCCTAAATTCACTTCTGATTTCTTTTGTTTTAGATTTATACACTTGAAAATACCACAGAAAACCTTTGACCAACTTTTAAATACAGACAAATAAATGTGTTGACATCAAACTAATAAATAAATTTGAAAGCTACTAAACTAGAATCACCAAGTCTATAAAGTAGATTGTTTTAAAGGCTTTTTTGAATTTTTCTATGTCTTCTTTAATTTCTCCAAAGATAGGGAGGTTATTTTGAGTTATATTTTCTGTATATTAAGCAGTTTATTTAAGACCTATGTGATGCTTCTGAATTATATAGTGTCCAGTGAAACTGAGTAAGTAAACAAGTGACTGCTATCACCTTGTGCTAAGAAAATGCTTTTGTGTTTTAAGAATTTTAGAGTTCATGTATCTGAGTGGATATGTTGTGACAAATTTATAGGTCTGTTGTTGCTGCTTGGATAACCTTAAAAATTATCAACATCATCAATGTTTTCCTTTATAAATGTATGCCTCTCTTCCTGCCTGCCAAGTGGATAACTGTGCTAACAGGTTTTTGTATGTTTTTGTTCTTTTTTGTCACTAGCATCCAAAACTCTTATTAATAGTATGCTACGGGACCCTTCTCAGATTCCAGATGGAGTTCTAGCAAATCAAGTCTATCAGGTATTAATCACAGTTGTCTTTTTTTTTCGTTTTTTTTTTTTTTTTTTCCTCTGGCAATGCTGTTATCTGCCTAGCAGAGTAAAAGATTTTAAACCTCATTTAATTACTGTCATCATAAACTATCACTGAGGTCAGAGTGCACCATAAATGGCAATGCAATATTTGTGAGGGGAGCATTTCACTTTTTAATAGCTCACTTTTACAGTGAATAAAAGCATGCAGTTTTTGTTTTCTGTGTCTATATCTGAATAGCATCTGATAGCCTTTTTGAAGAAAAGTAATTACTGTTTTTAAGATACTGTTCAACTGTAATGGTTTTGTAGTTGCCCGTCACTATACTAGTTCTCTTATTTGTCTGCAGTGTACTGTGAATGACTGTTGTTATGGACCACTGGTGGACTGCATCAAACAGTATCCTTTCCCATAAAATTTTAGGTGCACAATTGACGAGCTTAGACTGTGTGGAAGAGATGTGTCTAGCTTTAACCTGACATAAAGTTCTGCTTCACAAACCACGTTTCATACTCCACTGTTTTACGTTCAATCAGCTAGAGGGTCGCTGCAGAGCTTTCGCTGACACTGCTTAACAAAAATCAGATGGACCACGGCAAGTTGTCAGTTTGGTGGCTGCACATTCATATGCCTGATTGAACCTCTTTGGTTTTGATTAGTTGAAATGCATGTCTGGTTTTCTATTAAGAGTAGTTGACCCTGCTTTGAGCATTGAGGTTGGACTACATGATCTCTGGAGGTACCTTCAGTCTCAAGAATTCTGTGATTAAATTAGTAAGTTGCATAGACAATGTTGAACATTATGGCATTGCTTTATTATCAATACAGAATCACAGAATTGTCTAGGTTGGAAGAGACCTCAAGATCATCAAGTCCAACCTCTGACCTAACAAGTCCTCCACTAAACCATATCGCAAGTTCAACATCTAAACGTCTTTTAAAGACCTCCAGGGATGGTGACTCCACCACTTCCCTGGGCAGCCCATTCCAATGCCTCACAAGCCTCTCAGTAAAGAAGTTCTTCCTAATATCCAACCTAACTAATTATGAATATGTATTTTAATTAGAATGTTTTCAAGTGCAGTTCAGGTTGTGATAGATTGACTGATTAGCACTTTTAAACTCATACCTAACCTTCCAATGTAGTTCTTTTATTTTTTTTTATCTTAAAGAAAATGAGGCTGGCTGTAGAAAAAAACACTGTGTAGCTTGTATTTTAGGAGATGGTTTGTGCTTTTTTTTTTATAGCTTTAAAATATTTAGAAATCCTCAGTATCCAGTAAGGATACTGGGGGAACTCCACAGATTACTTATTGTTCAAGACTAAGTATTCAAGACACATTGTTCAAGACTAAGAATTTTTTACTGATTTTGTTAGGAGTGATTCTCATAACCCCAAACCTATTTTAATGAAGTCCTGAATGAGTAACTCTGTGGTTTCAATCTGTTATTGAAAGAACAGTTTCAAAATCATAGTCTTCTATCATTGTGCAGGCTAGCAAGGCAATTCCCTCCCAAACCCTAGAGAAACCTTGCGTAAATCTCTTCATCCAGTTTGGGTGAAGATCTGGATTTCACTGTACAGTGACAGGATAGGAGAGCTACAGTGATGTTTAGTTATGCATGTGAAACAATACTTCTTGTAGTTGTGATACATATGGTGATTACCTCTTGAAAATATGTTCTCTCTGCTAAAATATTTGCATGGATTCTGCTGTTTCATTTAATGACTGCAGGATAGAGTTCTAACTGTATTTGTTTTGTTTTTAACCTTGGTCTTAAGTATTCATTAAGACTCTCTTCAATGTTAAACATGACTCTCTTAAAGTAGATCAATGTAAAAAGTTGAACTTTTGAAAAGGTTGTTGATCATCAATTTTCATACCCAAAATTTGGTACTTTAGGATTAGTATTATTGTTGATGAACAATCTGACTAAAGTCTTCTGAAAGAGTTACGAACAGTTTTTAAGAATAACTTGACTGCAATCTAAATGGTTTTCCCTATTGTCTCCAGATTCTGGTTCAAGATATGTTATTGAATATACAGTGACATCAATGAGAATAATCAGGAGATTTTCAATTCTATTTTGGTACAGAAAAGTTTAATACTTGGCTGTATGAATGCATTATCTGCAAGTATGTTGCTGAATTAGATGTTAATTTTGAGGTGCATAAAATAGTTAAAAATCAATTTAAAGTTAAGGTTTTAAAAGCATAATGTCTTCTGAAGGATTGCATATTGATTTTAAATATAACTATCTAATTGTATATGCATGGACTCAAGTATGAAGTCAACCTCTTCGTAAATGCCAAGAGGCTATTTTTCAGTAATAGTTCAGATGCTTACGGGAAACTAGGCTGCTAGATTGCATGAGTAGAAAATGGCTTGTGAGGTTATTTACAAGTTTTGCCCCATGGTCATTGCCATACATCAATAACAGGTATTATTATAGACTAAGTCTAAGTGTTTCTGCTTATGGTGCATTATAAATTCTGTTTGCAATATTTTTTCTTACATTTTTGGCATTCTTCATTTGCCCCCATTTTTGTGCTGTAACTGCTAGTACAGTTTAACATAATATATAGCTTCAATTGATGAAAATGTGAAATGATTCCTTGCAATTAGCTTTTTTTGCTGTTCAGCATAAAACATTGGTATAATATAGGTAATCAGCTGTAATGGGAAGATGATCTGTAGTTTACATTTGCAGAAGTTATTCTAAATAAAATCAGGAATTTAATTGTTTTTAATGTAAGATCCTTTATTGTGATATTCCATGAGGTTCTTCTTAAAAGCTTCCAGAATAGAACTTTGACCTCTGGGAGGATACATTAAAATGTTTGATCTGATGAATTTTTTTTTTTACATATTGCTAAGAATAGCACATCGGATCAACAGGCTGTCAGTGAAGTGAAAAGGACTTTGCTGTAAAATATTATTTCATTCTTCCCTGACATTAGTTCACGCTTCTGAAAAATCAATTAAAAGGGTGTTTTGTTACAATAAGATCTTTCAGATGGATTTAGTGCCTATCAATTTCAGAATATAAAGAAAAAAAAAAGTTTATTTCATTCTTTACTGAATTAGAGAATTGATATGTTAATCATAAAAGTATAACTTATAAGCTATTTAACCACATGTTTTAAGCTCATGCTTTATTTTAATTTGGGGGACAGGGAGCAAAAATAGAAATATTGCCCTTATATATTTATACCAGGTAAGTGTGGTATAATGGGTTTTAATTTTGTAAAATGTATTCTGATGCTATATACAGTAGTCTGATTTTCACAAAGTGCTAAATGCCTCTGCCCTGTAAGGAATTTCAAAAATTAGAGTTCACATCATTGATCACTCTGAAATGAAGGTGAAGGCCAGTAAGCTTTATAATGAATTATTTTACCAATGATATTTTTCTGAATTTGTTTCTTTTCCAATGTAATCTTCCATTTCTTAACCTGAAGCTATCAGTGCTATTGGGCATGAGCATGAAGTCTTGCTGCGAGAAATGCTTTTGGAAAAAAATCTCTCTTTCATAGGTAAGAATCAGTAGTAGAGGCTAGCTAGAGGATCCTTAACTTTAAAGATTTCAGTGACTGTTTACTTAAGAAAAAAATAAGCCTCAACACTCTTTGTATTAGGTAGTAAAAGAAGAGTAAAAAATGATTGATGCTGTACATGTTATCTTTTATTGATTTAGAACTGAGCAGGAACTCAGTTACCTAATACCCTATATATACAGCACATGCACAGGCTTGCAATTAATATTTTATAGAATAAGTAGCTGAAAAAAAATGCTTTAATATCTGCTGCAGTATTACTTTTGGTGTCATGAGATATTAGCCATAATCTAGGCCTTATGAGACTTAGGAGGAAGCGTAAGAAATATTAGCTTCAAAATGCTTTCTGTATAAAGAACTGCTAGAAGATCCACTCACTTTGCTTTCTATGCAGTTTCTTGCCCCCCGCCTCCCAAACAATGAAAGTCTCTATATTGAAAGTTATTTTGAGGATTAATTGGTTAGTTATTTTCTTTCTCTTTTTTTTCTTTTAGTATGTACTACATTTCTGGTGTATAAGTGCCATTAAAACAATCATCAGTATTTAAATGATCAGTTCTCCTATAGTGATAATAAACTTAGTATTGACTTTTTAAATATTGGATTCCTTATGTGATGAAATTATTAATAAAGTGAATTGCTGTCTTTTTACAGTTGAGTGTTATACAAAGTTTGTATAATTAAAGAGTTTTACTGGTAAAACTAGTAAAATTAGTAGAGATCTTTAGGAGATCTCTTCTCTAGATTCAGGGTAAGATTTTGGAAAACTTTTAACAAATTTAGAAATTAGAAAGAAAATTAAGATTTTTAGGTTTGTCCACAAGATTAAAGAACAGAGTGTGCTCTTTTATTTTAGTTATTCCTATCTTTTTACATTTTTCTTCATTACATACAAACTTGCAAATGATACTATGAAAATGTGAGTTGTTTTTTTTTTAACTTGGCTGAAAGAGAAGAGATAATAGGATTAAATTGTAATTGGAGAGACGATATTGAGTTAAAATACTAAACAGTTCTATGAACAATAAGTATAAAACAAGCTGCCAGGGAAGGTTATGGAATCACCTTCAATGAAAAATTCAAGGCTAGACTTGACACTCATCCATCAAAGCTGGTAATGAAATCAGTCCTGTCACGATACAAGGGAATGGACTAGATGACTCACTAATGGATCCTCAACCGAACAATTATCATTCTTTTTGGCTTGTGCAAGCTTGTGTTTTACACAAATCAGATTTAAATTTTAATGATTCATGACCTTGGGTAAGCATCAATTTTACCTTTAGAAATAAGCTCTAAGAAATTTGTACTGTCAATTCAAAATATCTAGAATGGGTTAACTTGTCAACACACAGAGATATAAATAAGATGGATTAATTTATTGTTTACTTTTTATGCATAGTGAAGCATTGTTTACTCATGATTTAAGATGTGTTAATTGTTTTTATTATATCCTTCAAATGAATGTGCCTCAGGTTCTGGATTTGATTTAAAAAAAAAAAAAAAAGCTTTTCCTTCGTATCTGCAAGATGAACTTTACTGTATTTACTGAAACTCTTGCAGTAAAATCTTTCCTTTCTCAAAAATTGCATCCAAAACTACTTGAAGAAAACCCCTGGAAAACAGAAGAGATGACTATTTCCTAAAGGTCAACAGGTTCTGGCTTTGTCTGGCTTTCCATCTGAGTAAGATGGAGTTCTGGTGTTGGAAATGGCTTGTGACTTAGATTGCTGTACTGACAAAACTATTACTTTTTAACCCATGTATTAAAGAAACAATTCCTGCTGCCATTTTCCATGTTAGTGTAATACTGTAGTGTACTATTCTTCTAGAATAGCATTTTTTTTTGTTACAGTTATGTTTACCTGGGCAATAGAGAGTATATTACAGAAGAAAAAAGCCTAGCAGCATTTAGTGTCAGGAAGAAAATTTGTTTCTAGAGGACGTAGTTTTCAAAGCATACAGATCAGAAGTAGCACCTTCAGATTCACTCAGAAATCGATTGGAAACTTAAACAAACCAGTGTTTTTTGTATTTTAGGAATGCATTGTTCGCGAGAAGCACATCACTTCCTCTCTACATCAGAAACGCAGTTCTCAAGTCTTTTCTGTTTTGCTTGAGATTTACAGAATCAATGGAAGCATTCTCTCAGAACAGGCTAACAGCCTTCCCTTCTTCACTGGTTCACTTGCCTTGCTGAAATGCCAGGAATTTCTAGGTTATACGTAGGATCTAACCTCATCTTTTCATGTCTTTGCCTACCCCAGAATTTATTAGGAATGCTTTTAGCTATAATGGGAAGGTATATAACTGACCTTTCTAGAATCTTAACCTCCTTTTGCTCCCACTATGGTGTCCCTCAGTAGCCTGGATATAAATCATGAAATCTGTTTAGTGTTTTCTGCTATAGTCTTCAATGTGCAGCTACTGCCTACTGATGCACCAATAGAAGAATGTTTTACTTCCTTGTTACATCCAGAGGCTAGTATAAGAACAACAATGAGTTAAATGGTTATGATTGAGTTACAGTAAATACAAACCTCCAGATCTGTTGGAAATCTGAACTAATGGACAACATGTGGACAAACTTAGGGCCTTTTCAACATAATTTTCAAATCTGAGGATGAAGAGATGTAGCTGCCGTGGGCTGGCTTTCAAGCAGTTTTTCAGTCATTCTCTTGATCCGTATAAGACCTAAAAGATATTTTAAGGTGTGCATAACGCTACTATACCAATCTAAGGCTTCTATACTAATCTGAAGCATTCCTAGGCTAAAAAGTTTGAACGTCCTTTTGATGAGGTTTTGGCTTCAAGAATCTTTCTGGTGATTTTGGGGACCTTCTGTAATTCCTTTTTTCTTTTTATTTTCCCAAAGTTACAAAGCTTCATAATAATTGAAGAATCAGTAATATATAATTATTTTCATGTGTGTAATTGCCAAATATATAATAAAGGTGTTTTTTAAATATATTTTTCACTATTTCTCATAGTGCAAAGTGTTAGGAGAAACCGAGGCAAAACTTTCCAAAACAAATTTAAAGCAGAAAATATATTGTGTTAATCCATGTGTTAAATGATTTCAAAAGTAATCAGACATCCTTGAAAAAAGAGTCTGCTAAAGAGTATAAAGGTAATGCCAATGCAAACTCCAGCTCAGACACTTGCCAAGTTGACCTATCAGCAGATGTAAAAACATTTCTGTTGGTTTCAATGTGGAGGGTTTTTTATGTTTGTTTAAGGTAAATATCCTTAAATTTGTGACATTAGCCTTTGTTAGATGTGATGGAAAAGTCTGAACATTCTGTTGCCATTTGTGTGTTCCCAAATAATGAGTTTCTTCTAGACTGCTTGTCTAGAAGAATGAAAGTCTTTTCCAGACTGCCTTAAACAGTTGAGAGCAGGTCACAGTTAAATAGGGCTGGATGAAACCGGGTTACGTTTTACTTTTATCAAAATTTAAAAATTCCTTAGAATATTCATTTGTTTTCATAATGTGATGTAAAAATCTCTTCATAGGTTCTGTTAAACTAGAACCTTGTCAATCTAAGCATATTTTATCCAAATACCTAACAATTTAATTTTGAAAGTAGCCAACAATCAAGTCTGGCTACAAATCCTAGAAAAGTTTAATAGCTGACCAGGTGATATAAAAAAGTGTTGGATTCCAAAATCATGTATTTACAATGTAGTGTTCCTACTGTGAATAAATGCTCTCAAATTTCAAAAGAAATACCACAGCTATTAAAAAGAATAAACAGCTATTGCAGTTTGCATTTAAAGTGAATGTACAGCATTCCAGAATTACTGGTGTCCTGCTTGCAGTATTAGTTCACTGTATAAAAATATACCTCAGACTTTTATTTTTCAATAAGGAAGGGGAGAGAAGTTTGCTTTAGGCAATTTTAAAAATTTTTGATTTCTAAGAGTGTATATTTTTCTTGTCATTAAAATGTTGCTTGGACTCAAACTGCTGACCTTTCAAGATATGCACAAAGTATTCTAAAACTGAGTTCTGAACATTGGCCGTGAAACTACTGTCCTAACCTGATAAATGGATTGGAAATAAGCTACCCAACAGTGAGAATGGACCATTAATTTTAATCAAAGGTGATGTAGAAAGGCGAATGGGATGCATGACAATGTCAACAGCCCAGTAGGTGTTAAGGGGCTACACAGCCTTACTTGTTACTAGGTTGTGCCATTAGTTGAGCTTCGGTGAAGACAGAAAGCCATGCCTGGAATTGAATGACCAGGTCACTCCAAAATCTAATGGTGTATCAGAAATACCAATGTAATGGTATTGGAAATCAAGGACAATAGTTTAAAAAATAGTGAGGGCTTGCTTTCTCCTTTTTTTTTTTCCTTTTTTAAAGGAAGCATCTTTTTTTTTTTCTGTTTTCTTTCTCAGTTATTTCTTGAAATATTCAGAAGCAATAGATTTGTATAGTTAATGCTAAGAATTTATTTTATTATTTTTTTTATGTTCTGAAATTGGTTAAATTATATTCAGGAGGCAAGAGAAATTAAAATCATATCTTCCCTCTATTAGATTTCTGGGAGAAGATTTTCTTATTTATTTGTTTGTTTGTTTGTTTATTTAGCACCCTTGTGCTAACATTAAAACAAAACTAAGAAGGCAGCTGCAGTATTCTACGTTTGTGGTGTTGGTAGGATTAATCTCAACAGCTCCTAATGTGAGAAGACTTTTCTTTCAATCAGCAAATATATCTCTTTATTTTGAATATTTAGGGGTTATAAAATACTGTATGACAGCTTGAATTAATGATGTTTATAATGAAGACATAAAAATGCAGGGATGACAAAGAAGCATTTTTATATCCATGCTTCAGGTTTTCTACGAAGGTTCATTTAATCTGACACAGTGTTGCATGCATAAGAAAGATATGTATGAGTGCATTAGTAATTCTTACACTCTTATTTAAAATAAAATTAATGATACTGCTGTCTAGTTAATAGAATAGTTTTATAAACAATAGTTCTTGTTCTCTATATATAGCCGAAGATCAGCTTCGTGCTAAAGGTTATGACAAAACACCAGACTTTATTTTAGAAGTGCCAGTAGGTAAGTCTTTTAAAAGAATTTTTATTATTTTATTTTGTGTATAAGTGTTTATGTTAAAATATTACAGCTACTTAAGACATACGAAAGTAAAGTATATTATAGGATACAATATTACTCTGTTTTTCCAGTGTTTACCCAATAATTTTAACAACTTCTACTTTGTGTGAGAGTATTACCCATAATACAAGTAAATATAATTTACTCTTCAGTCTTTGCACGTTTTTGTCACAAAGTCATAAAAAAAAGAAAAAAGAAAGGAAAAAAAAAACACTAAACAATAGGAACCCTCAAATCCTCACTCCCTCTAACTTGCTCAGCCCACTTTATGATGTAAAATCTGAAATACCTATAATTGTCTTAAACTTTAAGGCACAATCAAATGCAAAGCAGTCTTAAAGTAATACCATTATGCCTCCAGGTCACTGTGTAAAGGTTTGTCATCATGCAGTTACTCTCATGCCATCACGTTGCATCTAAATACAACTCAGTAGTTCCCTATTTTTTTAAAAAGCCTGCATTAACAGGAAGCAAGAAGGAATAAAAGTGGGTAAAAAGGGCATGCCAAAGTTCATCTGCATCTTCTGGTCTTTAGGCCGTATAAGAAGGTAAGATGACCCGTTGGCTGGGCCACAGAAGAAAAACATAAATGTTGTCCAAGTGTAAAGGATTCTTAATGATCCTTTGTAAATCGACTTTCATATAAAAAGACTTCTGATTCACCTGCTTAGAGCACAACACCTCTCTGTGCAGATGTCTACTGGTGGGTGTGTCGGAGAAAATAAAAAGTTTGAAAGCTCTCTGCAAAAGTCATGTGCATGACTTTTTTGGTTCTTTGTTTTGACAACAGTTGGAATTATTACAGATAACAGATACATGCATTGGTATAAGGAATTGAGTGTGTACTGTGAGAGACTTTGTCTCATCCTAAGCAGTTCTTCAGATACCATCTTTCACCACAATAATCTCTCTTATCCAATAGTTAGACTATGTATATGAGCGTCTTCTGAAAAGTTTTTAAAGACCTCCTTAACTCAGTAATGGTATTCCACATTGCCTTAATGGAGAATGGATGATGTTTTAGAGCGATTGTCATGATTTCTTCAAAATTAGATTGTCGGTGTCAGAGAGGACTTTCCCCCGAAAAGAGCATTTTATTAATATTGCAAAATCAATTCTGCAAAAAACGAGGAAAGACACCAATCAGTGCAAATCCCGGAGTATCCCAGAAAAAGAAATTCCAAATTGTATTTTTCACGTAACCCTCCTTATACCTAAATTCTTCCTGCTGAAGCAGTTCTGATTTTGCAAAAGTAAGGAAGCAGATATGTATCTATGATAACCTTTCTTGCTGTTCTTACACAGTCTACTCTAGACTAAGAATTTTCTGTGTTTAGTGGCTTAGCTAACTGTTCTTGATATTCACCAGTCATCAGTTCCTTACCTGACAACTCTTTTCCAGCAAAGTAAGGGTGAAAATAGGATGAAATTGCATCTTAGTCTGGTCTCTCTTTACGTTCTGCATGTTTTAGAATAAATGTGAATATCTAGAACAGGATGTAATTAACTTAAATTGAGACTCTTATCAATTAAAATACTTTGTGTTTTTTTTTTGAAAATGTCATATGTGCATATTCAAAAAATATTTTTACAAATATGTAACTGTTGCAAGCATGAATTATGTGGTAGTTTGGGGGTTAAATAGGGTATTCCCAAATACATTCTTACAGGCTGTTGAGTTTGATTTTCACAGTTCACTTTATTTTCTGCTGTCACCCTAGCTGTTGAAGGACACATAATTCACTGGATTGAAAGCAAAGCCTCATTTGGTGATGAAAGTAGCCACCAAGCCTACTTGCAGGACCAGTTTTGGAGCTACTGGAATAGGTACATTACTGTTATTTTTCCCTATAGATAAGTAAGAATATGTTTTTTAAAATAAGTTACTGGGGAAAAAAAAAAAAGCATAAAGCAGTCATGACTTTTTTATTACGCCATGTGAATAGAATACATGTTACTAATCTGACATTTTGAATTTGATTAATTAGTATGTCAAATTGGAATGCTGAAATATTTGTGAAAAATTCATATGATAATGCTAACAGTTAACAGATTTATATGGTGATTTTGCAGTGATGCTGGAAAACAGAATAAGCTGATTTGGTACAGAAGCTGTATTTCAGTTTGCTTAGTACTTGACTGAAGGAAGATTCAGTAACGTTTTGTAGTACTTGCAAGGTGCCCAACTTGTTCTAAAATCTTCACAGTATAACAAGTGTGGTTTGTATGTAAAGAACTTTATTGCTTATTGTCAGTGTATCTAAATCGTTTCACTTTTTTTCATAAAACATTTTTGGTACATTATCTACATGTAACACAATAATACATTCTTTTCAAGCTAAAAAAAAATATTTAAAGGAATATATGAAGAGAAGTGAGTTATGCTGGACAGAATTTTTGAACATTGATTTTGTTGGTATAAAGATCCTTTAAAGACTTAAAATAGTTCTTCTTTATTCTTATAAAGGTTTTTATTGTGTATAATGAAGAAGACTTAACACTGGGGAGGACTCTTTTTGTTGTTTAAATCCTACACAAGATACTCATCTTAATTCTGTCTTTGTATGTGGTGGAACCCTAAGCAAGGCAGTAAGTGAGGTAAATGCAAGTTTTAATAAAGGATTTGTGATAGCATAGATTAAGAAGTCTTTCTGGTGTTTACAAGGTCGTTTCCGTGAAATCTGAGGGATAGTGGAGAAGATGGCACAAATATGTTTGAACATGCATCTAACAACATATGCCAACGTCAGTTGCCAGTCTGTGGTGACCATCAGTATTTCAGCTAAATGTAATAAATGCCAATGTGAAAATTGCTAGCCTTAGCTTGGGAAATGCCTTTAAAAGCAGTTTCTGTAGGATGCAGCAGAGATAGAAAAACTATATTTTGAGAATAACACTATCAGAATGCATGATTATGCTCTGTCAAAACAGTTGTTGATATGAGGAGGGCCTGTGCTTATTTGATAATCCCAGAGAGCAGTCAATTGGAGAACTTGAACTGAGGTTATGGGAACCTCAGGAAGACTGTCCATTGTTGGATGAAGATGTTGTGCTACAGGAAAATTATAGACAAGAATTTGTGAGATATATAACCAGAGTACAAGACTTAGAAACAATTTTGAGTATGTAACAACATCTAGGCAATTAGTGAGAGTGGCAGGAAAGATGCTGATGCAAATGGTGCTGAACTTGCACATCAGTGTAATGAGCAGCTTAGGCTGTGAGGGGTCATTAAATATACTGACTAGAATATTTTCAGTGGGTATGTGTTTGAGGGGATAGTGTAAGAGGAAAGCAGCTCTACGTGAATTTTAAATGGATAACATGGGTATAAAGGTACAAAGTTGAGGTGGGGAGAGAAAGGTAGATAGACAAGTGGGATGAAGGCATTGATCCATTTCAGGTTTGCAGTAAAATTGCTGTTGCATAGTCAAACTTAGTTTTTGTCTTTTTCTGCTAAATAAAATGACTATGTTTTGGCTTGAGCTATAACATGTAAAAAACTTGAAAATACTGGCTATCCTTTGAACCTGACATTTCTGAAAGAAACTTCTCTTATGCTTTTATCAGGAAACCAATACATAGCTAACTTCATTTTAATTTCAGTTTTATCATGTGATAATTAATATTTTAACTTCAAAAATAGAATAAAACTGAACTGTTAGTAAAATACTTCTAATGTTGCAAAAGCTAGACTGAATTGAAATAGGGATCATTAGAAATGTTTTGAAAGTAGTTTTCAGATTTTGCCTAATCTTTTTTTATAGTTATTTTATAGAAAGCATCTAGAAAAATTGGTAATTCTTACATATGTAAGGGCTTTACATTCATATGAAGGAAACTAGAAATCTCCCTACTGGGATGTGTTATTCCCTAAATCCAGAATTTAATGTTAGGTTAACTATGGAAGTAAGGCATAATTCTGTTTTTTTGGGGGGTGTTTTGGTGGTGGTGGTTTTGTTTTTGTTTTGTTGGGTTGGGTTTTTATTTGTTTGTTCATTTCAATTTTTGGTTTTGTTTTGTAACAAACAAATCCTGTTAATTTTAAATTTTAATTTTGGTACTACTTGGTTAAACTAACACTATTGCATCTTCTGAAATGAGTTCTGAATTACTACAGCTTCTTCTCATATAATGGCAGTTGGATTAATGAACATTTGATGACTGATTAGGTTGCACGAAGGTTAAACAGTTACCTTTCATTCCTCTCTGAAACTATTCAAGAAAAAACACAGGTGTAGCTGGACAAAATGCGCATCAGTTTTGAGTGGTTTAATGAATCAGCCAATTGTGGTTTAATGAATCAAGGATCTCTCAAGTGAGAACCAGTTTCCTAGGCAATTCATATGTACCTGTATCTTTCCTTTCCACCTGAAGGAGGAATCTTTCGGAGAAGATGCATCAGTTCATAACAGATGTATCATGATCATCCTTCAGGGTTCTGTAAACCTGATCTGTTGGTTGAAGTTAAAGTTCAGTTGAAATTGGAGAGAAATGCTGTAACATCACCTGCTAGATGGGGGTAGAAATACATGCCTAGAAATACATTCACTTTGAAAGGAGTGAATGTGAAAGGTTTTAGATCTTTTCCATGGAGCTTTTTTTGTTTCTGTAAAAAGTAAGACTGAGACTGGAATAGTTTCTGGGTGTTTTTCCACATCTGTAACAGATGTAAATTTAATTCTGCACACAGTCTGACTGAAAGCTTTGAACGTAGCTATGGTTTGTTTGCTGTAATGCGTATGTTTCATTAAATCCTGTAGTCTGTGCTAACTAAATCTGTGAGTGTCTTAAATTGGCCTGTACTGACAGGAAAGAAAAGGCACTTTCTCATTTAACAGAACGGCTCCCTAGATTCAGTCAACCATGTCTATTCACCTCAGTGCAAAAGAACACCTTTTTATTGCTCTGAGTTCTGCAGGGACAGCTTAGCAAGGTTTTTTTATGGCTCATACATCAATGGTATTGTTAAGCAATTTTTGGTTGCAGTGCCACACTTGCAACTTCATCTTCAAATTAAGCTTCACATTAAAAATGCACAAAGTGTACTTTGTCAGTGGGTTTGCACAGTTATAATTTAGGACACTGTTTAGATATTGAGAATTTTCACTGATAAACAAAAAAAAAAGCAAGTTCAGTCTTACGTTTTCCCAGGCTGGTTTTGGAGAGTGATGTTTAGGAAAAAGCTATCTTATACACCGAACAAACTTAGTATAAAATGATTCATGTACTCACTGAAACCCTTCATTCTACCTATTCTACCTGTTTATTCCTCCAAAACAATGGTATCCACTGAGCAGGCTGCAACTTTCACTGCCACTGTGTAAACAAAACAACTGCATGTGCATAACATAACATGCAGTTCAAATAGTAATTAGTGGACGCTGCCAGTGACTTGCTGCAAGCAAGTCAAATACAGCAATTTACATTTTGTACCTTCTGCAATACGTACCTTCTGGAATGTAATTTCTAGAGTACAAGGAGAAAGCTTGATGCCATTGTTAGCATTTAGCGTTAGCTAAAGAAACTTTACTATACATGCGGGAGAGACTGTAGGAAAATGTCATATTTGATACTGATATTAAAATGAAGGTAATTTCACACAGTTGAAAGAGAATAATTTCATTCTGTTTGACTAAGAATAATAAGTCATGACTGTAGTAAATTCCTTTCCCCCCTTTGCTAAATGTCATTATTTTTGTTTGTTTGTTTTGAAATAATAAGTGCAAGTTTCTCATAATTAATTTTAAAATAGTAGCCACGCTTTTCTGAAAACTAAGTTCATGATTAACTCTGTTGTTAATTAATGCAATATGTCTGCTCTTGAGACTTTGGTTTATAACCAATAGTCTGAGTAATGAAATCACCAAGTCCTATAGAACAAAAAAAAGGTCTTTCAGATAAATGTGAAAAGAAAAAAAATAGAGTGTTCATTTCAGTTACAAACACATCTGTTCTATTAGTTTCTTTTTGAGAAGAGTGTTCTGTTCATATTCATTTGTAGTTGACGCTAAGAATGAATCATTTGTGAGCAAAGACTGAATGAGAACATCAAAATGATGCACTTTTTTTTAATGTTCTACTGTTTAAAATGGTTTGGCATTATGTTACTGTGAAGACTGCCTAAATAATAATTGTTGTCTGATTGTAGGTGGTAGGGGAAGAGGGAATCGTGCTGTGGGCTTATGGATGCATGTTCTATAACAGTATCAATATGATCCAATTGAAAATTGTTTAAAAAGTTGTACTGGTGGGTTGAAAGCCAGTGGTATAACAACTCGACTTGGAGGAAACGTTGGGAGTTGCATTTGTCAAGTAGCTAGGAAAACCGTTCATGCATACCCAGTATCCAAAGCTTCATTGGCAGCCCAAACATAAAGAACTGAAAGGTCATTCTTCTTCTTGCAGTGCGATGGTTTGTTGACATATTTTGACACACTGGTACAATGCTGAAAGGTTTTGACCTTACTGCAACACTGAGGGACTTAGGGTTTGTTTAGCTATCTAATACTCTTAGATTTTCACACGTTGGATTTGCTCTGTTGCTGCTTCTCTCCCTCCTGACTCCATTTGAATTAGTAAATTAATCTTAAATAAACCATTGATGTAGACAGAAGGGGGGGGGGGTATGATGGTTTTGCAACTTAGGACTAGGTATAGATGTTTCTATAAAAAATAATTTATTTATTTTAGAATCTGCCATACCAACTTGCTCACCTTAAAAGCAATGAGTAAGATAGGTTTGCTTCTAGACAAAAAGAATCAAAATCAGTGAAATAATGCTTCCTACTAGTTTACTGTATTCAGTAGTTTAATTTGTGAAGATGATAAAATTCTGTGTTCTCCTCTCAGATATATATGTACACACAGACAGAGGCACACCTCTGCTCTTCACAAATATTCTAGATACACTTAGCTTATCTCCAGTGAATCACTGCTTTATTTATTTAACAACATGAACAGTATCAAACTCAACATGCAGTTTATGCGTTTGTTTTTTTTGTTGTTGTTTGTTTTGTTTTGTTTTGTTTTGTTTTTACTTTATCATAAAAGTAACATCTTTACATTTTACTGGTCATCACCTCATTCAATAAGGTGACTGAATAACAGACCATGAAGATGTCTTCCATCAAGACCACACCTCATGCCTAGCATTGCTATAACATTAATTGTTGTGCTGATTATTTTAGACTATTTTGTATCAAAACGCCTTTTGTCAAAACAGACCATACTGTATACTGATTAGTGTATATTAAAAAGTAGTAAATGAGGCACTATAAAGCTTTATTTAAATTATTTTTCGCCTTATATTTTTCTGTACTGTCTTAAATATTATGTCACAGGAGACTCGTGTAGTGCGGATAGAGCATTTTCAGCTTCCATCTACATTACTGCAAGGCTTCAGCTCCAATTTTCATGGTATTTCTCATACAGATTAGACAAGCATCTAAGTTTATGTACGATAAGAGCTGACAGCATAGATCCTGCTCTGCTTGCCAAAGGCCTGGTTGCAGACACTCCACTATGTCAAAGAATGTCAACCCCCCACAGACATTACCTTTCAGAATTCCTTGTAATTTTTAATTGACATTTACATCTGACATTTTCAATGTATTTTTTAGTGTTGAGTCTTTATCTATCTAGTAATAGTTAAAAACCAAAGCAAAGCAAAAAGAATCCCTTCCTGTAAACTATGATATCATATATTTTTTTTATTTAACAAGGTCAAGTTGTTAGGCTGAAACTCAAGAATGACCAACTCCCTCTCGCTTTATGTAACTCCGTATTTGCTAGTCTAATCCATTTCAAATGACAATTGAGGAGGGAAGTAGGAATATAAAGTGAAATTTAACTCTTAATGAATGAAACACAAGTTTATTATTACTATACATCATGAACAAAAAAGGATACAGAGATTTTCAGTATTTTTTCAAGAATTTCTATAGAGATTTCCCTTTGAGTCTGGTGCTTAAATATAGAAAATGGTGTCTTCGCACCTCTATTCATGTTACATGTACATGCAAACAGCATAATATTGTGAACAAAATGAAGCTGGCAAGTATGTAATGTAGCTGTATGTTGCAAAGGCTGTTGTGCATCCTCCCCTTCAGAAATCTCGAGTTTTCATGTGGTTTAAAATAATAGAAAACAAATAAAGTAGTGTGAGTACAATTATCTATCTGGGAGAAGTTAAAATGAAGGACGACAGTTGATCATAAATGTCACAAAGCAAAGAAATAGAAGGAGTGTTTTGTCACAAATAATGCTGCTTTTCTTCTAATTAGTTAATTTACATTTTACAAATTAAGGGCAAGATTCAGACAGAAGATAATCTAGTAGCATATCATAGCTGTACTGACCTGTATTTGTATATGCCAAATTTAAGTTAATTAGAAATGTAGATGCTGTTTGTTTTATCTGTCAAAAAGCTCATCTTAAAAAAAATCTAGACACACTTTTTCCCCCAACATTTATCATCTAAATAATAGTCTTGCCAAGATGGCAGCCTCATAATAAACTCTTTTCAGTGGAGTGATGGGTAATGAAGCTTGCTTGTGAAGGCAGCGAAAAATGTTGTCTAGCCAAATGTGTGAATATGATGGCTAGAGAATCAGTGGACTTTCTCAGTCATCAATCTTTTTAGTAGCCTCTTACACATCTGAATATTTTGATAGATGATCTAATAATTGAGTTATCTATCTTTCTAACTATCAGAGTTGCATAAAAATTATTCTCACATGCTATTGAATATTAAATATATTGGGCATCCAGTAAATTTTTCAAAAAAAGGTCCAAGAGGTGGAGGAATTTAGTCATGTCTTAAGCACACTTTAAAATATTGAATGATAAACTACTATATCTAGAGTACAAAGCTATTTGTACTAATGTAAGAAAAAAGTAAATATTGTCAATAGCTGATTACAAATAGGTTTCACAGTAAATAAAGCACATAAAAACAAGACTGTTGAGGTTAGTGCACAATCTGAGAGAAATCTGAGGTATAAAATGAGTAGATTCAATAGTCTCTGGCTGGTTAATGGGCAACAATCACATTTACACACAGCTTCACAAATTCCTGGTATCTAGGAAATCTTGGCATACAGTTTCACCGCAGAGTCCCAAATTACCTTTCAGCCTCTTTGAGAGTAGTCTCAATATATACTGAGAAGTATGTATTGAAATTGCCCACATTTTGTTTATTCTGTGAGATTGTACAGTGCAAATCTGTGTTTCCAGGGTACAAGAATCTGCTTTCCCAGGACAGTTATCTTGTGTTAAAGGAGACCCGGTATATGGATAAGTTGCATTAAGCACACCATCAGGTGTGTCTTACTAGGGCTTCTGAGTAGCAGAGCAAAATGATTGTTGGTGTTGGTCTGTTTTTTTAAACACTACGGTTCAAACAGTCATTTGTATAATTCTTGATTTCAAATACATTTCTGCTCAAAGGTTTGGGTAAAAATCATTTTAACAATAAGAAGATCATTTTTAACAAAAAGAAAATCATCATTTTTGGATGGAGAATATTTTCATTTCAAATATTCCTTTTCCCTCTCAGTGTCACCAGTTTGATTTAAGTTCCTTCTTGTAAATTCTGAAAAATTGTATGTGGGGGGAACTCATCTGCTTTAAAAAAAGAAAAAAGAAAAAAAAACAGTCTAGATTGTATGTTTGTTTTGGTTAAGTACTTTATTTGTAAGTTTCTTAATTACAATAAGGTAAAAACAAGTATGTTTATGAATAGTTCTCCAGTCAGCAAAGTGAGCTTTCTTTCTTTGTTCAGAACAGGAGTGACCAGGGTATTTCTCTGTGGATACCAAAAAGTTATTCACTCATTGTAGAATTGTAATGGAAAAGGCATGAGAGAGAACTGCTTAAAAGGGAAAAGGAAAGATTGATCTCAAGGAGCTGCATGACCATTGTTTGAGAAGTACTTTGTGAAAGTATCATTGGACATTGCCAGTGCCTAAGGATCTACAAGTTGAATAAAGACTTGTCTGTCTTACTGTCAGCAGCTGTGACTGTCATGCTTAGTAAGCAAAGTTTTTGATGCTCGAGAGTTCTTGTTAAATGTGCATTAGTGGTTTGATACATGTTGGGTAAACGTAAAGCAAGGCACTGAAATAAGATGACTTCAGTATCAAAAATGTAAGACCTCACAATAAAAATGTGGGTCTGAAGCTCCATGCATCTTGCAATACTGCATACCTCATGAACACTCCACATTTTTGTTTTCAGCAATGGTTAAATTAATTTTATGGAACTTTAAATGGCATAAGCATAATTTCACATAAGCATAATTGCACATAATTTTAACCTAGAAATAAAATATTAGAAAACAAATTACAAGAAAAGGTAAAGTTATTCAGTATTGTTACTTGTGGAGTTTTAATATAAAAAAGCTAAAATTACATCTGAATATATAAATTAATAAGCAATTAACTGGACTTGATTAATGTCAATGTTTGATTTTATTTATTATATGTGACAACTTCTGACATCAAGTAAATTGGCAGTTTTTCTAGTCAGTATTTGTAGCATGGCTACATGAGAACATACCAAGAACATACTAAGCTCTGACATATACACAATACAAACTTGTGTACATATTTGTTTGTGTAATTTTAGAATGTTTGCATTTTAATTTGGGAAAGGGATCTTCATTTTCCTCCTCTAATCAAAATAGCAAGAGTCTGTGTTCCTTCTGGTTTGTCATCTGATTAGCATGCTCTCATCCATCACTGGTCTTTGATATGAACATCAAGAAATCATGTCTTTTTGTTTTAAATGATAAATATGCCTTTGTCATGATTACTTACAGACATTCCAAGATTTACATCTGAATTGTCAAAGTGTAACTGCACAGCTTCTCTGATGTGTGACATTATTAGTGAAATAAAGAACTTTTTAATTTGTCATGGATAGGCCTTAGATATTGAAGTTACAAGGCTATGTTAGGTGTGATGCTGGAAAAAACATCTTCCTTCCTGTAGTGTTTTTCTAAGATTTGTTGTTTATCATTGAGAGACAATCAGCTGCACAAGAGCCTTTGCGGACATCCTTATTCGTGGGGTCCAAGCCTGTCTCTTCAGGTTTCATTATTTAGGTCTGATGTCTAGTTAGCTCATATCAAAACTAATACCATCTGAAGTACCAGGCTTCCAGTGGTCACACAACCAACATGAAAATTTCTTCAATCTGACTAATATTATTAAAGACAGTATCTCTTTAAACTTGAGCTTTGTTTCGGTGTCTATATCAATTATATATTCTAAGTGCATTTCCTTGAATGTGTCATTGCTTGTTTCTATAGACAAAGTACATCTGAATTAAATGATATCCTGCACATTTTTAAATAAAAATAGTGAGAATGCAGGCATTTTGTCTAACCTATTAACATTCTTGCTATGTACTGATGCTACTAAGACAAAATGCTATTGTATTGCTGTCCTCTCATTGTTAATACAGTACAGTAAATTAAAATGTTTTTGAAGGTAGACACCTAGATGGATTTTTTTATCAACTATTTTATCACTTATTTGTAGGAAAAATGGTGTATGTCATACAAATATGTAATTTAATTTTAGTTCCTATGGAAAATAAGTGTTCCTTGAAATCTTTGGGCTCACTTAAGCATGGTAAAATATTATTTCCTGCATTTCTGTTTTGCTTTTGCATTTATTTTGTTCTGAGCGTATTGTGGTCCAATTCATTTTGTGGTATAGTACTGAAATTGAATCTTTGAAATTTACAATTTCAAGATATTGCAATTTATAACCTTTGAAATTTACAAGATAGTTCAGACAAGAGTTCAGTGAGGAATCCCACAAAATGATTTAAGGGCCCATGATCATGATCAGCTTATAAATGCAATACTTTGTAATAGAATATATATGATATACTGTAATATATAGTTGGTTTTTATTATTTTATTAATCTTTACCTCAGAGATGTTGATCACAACATTTTTGATTTAATCAAGAGTATCAGTCTGAACCCAAATTCATTTGAATAATAAAATAATGTAAAATTGATCATTTTATTGTAAATTTCTGACTATTTCTCTCTGTATTTGGAATGTGCTGTTTAGTTGATTTTAAAATAGTGAATAGTATATATGTGTATATTTCAGGCTCTCTGTAGAAGAGTAATTTTGAAAGTATATTCTCATTTATTTGTTTCAAAAGGAGAAATACTTTATATCCTTTGCAATACAGCTCAGTACATTGAGTAGGATTTTGTGACATACAAAGGATGCATGTGAGTTTTTGAGA